GCTCACTGTACAATTGTTTTTCTGTGAGGCCAAACCTCACATCATCGGGGGTTCTGTCAATCTGGCTTTGTCAGAGGACGACGGACACAACTCCAGGTTTGGCGCTCTCAAACCTCCCAGATGGCTCAACTCAATCATGTCTTCTTCCGCCCTCCGAAGTGTTGACGAACACAACAACGTGATTTCCTCCTCCATTTCTTCCGTCGTCGATTCATCTTCAGACGATGTCTTTAGCCGTATCCGATCCCCCGGAGAACCTCTGGGTCCAATCTTCCTCCACAGCGAAGACCCGTCTACCTCCTCCTCCTCACTCGTCCACACGTTGTCAGATTTGAACCCCTTCCTCCGCGCCAAACGTGATGTCGACGCCAGCTGCCCGCTCCCAGAAGACATGCCCCAGCAAGTGAGAGACCTCAACGACTTCCTGGAAGCTGACCAGTTTATCGGACTGGAACCCGAACAGCCTGAGGTTGAAGCTATCCCGACAGACCAGCCCCCAGCTGACCAGTGTCCAGCCTCTAGCGGCTCCTGGTGGCCAAGACGAGAGTTGAACCTCCGCTCTACCTGCCCGTGGATTTACGTGCAGAAAGACAACGGAGCCGACGTCTACCCAAGGTAAACACACTTCTTGATCTGCAACTTGTGCCTCCCTCAACACATCTTTAGTAATAGTCATCTATCTATTCAAATCTTTATTCATTTTTTTCTGCACTGTGTTGGAACAGCCTAAATGCATTTACTCGTTTCAAGACCACTTGTATTATATATTTTTTGTCAATACTTTCAACAGTTTCATTGTCAGTCATTAGAGTCATTCCGTTTTACGATTTTGCTCTTAAAAAGATACAATTGGCACAAAAATATCAATTTCTTTTTTAAACAAACAAGGCACCCAACATGTATAACTTTAGAAGGAACGATGAAATCCGTAAAAACATTTTTAAAGAATTCAACCTTCAAATTATTCAATTCGTCATACATAATGACTTCATTCATATCCTTACCTAACTGTGATATTTATACCCGCATTCCTTCCTTTCTTCCCCTCCAGATATGTTCGCGAGGCGAAATGTCTGTGCCACGAATGTCTGAAAAGTACCTCAATGAGCTGCCAAAGACTGGAGGTAAACGCTACAGTTTTCAGACGCGTGGGTTGTAAGGATGGGGTCGCCCTCATGAACAAGGAACAGATTCTGGTCAAAGTGGGATGCTACTGCGCAAGCCCAATCAACGGTTCCGGCCCAGTCATCGATACCTCTGACGTCCCTTGGAGCTAAACACAAGGTTTGAACCTGTGTCTTCCAGAACGAAAACCGGCGAGTAACGCCTGAGATTCGATGATGTTTTCCTCTTGATGAGAAGCTACAATGGTAAAAGTGTGAACGATCTGATGTTCTATTCTATCTATCTATCTATCTATCTATCTATCTATCTATCTATCTATCTATCTATCTAGCTATCTATCTATCTATCTATCTATCTTTCCCAACAGCTATATCTCTGCATAATCTGCCACTCACCCCATCCTTACTCCTAACCCTGTCTTCATTCTGGTATGCTTCAACATTCTATGTATCTATTTACTTGCACTATCTCCCTTAATCTTTTTAATCTTTTCTTTTTTCCAATCTTCGCTCACATATTGTAGTCTCATCAAGATAATTCGTAGATCAAATTGATCTAAAATTAGCACACAACGTGTGCCCTATGTGTTTATTATTTTACATGTAAGCTTGTTTCGTTTTTCACTTTTTGTACAAAGAGTATTACTTTTTTTCAACCAGACTATTCAAGCTCAATACATTCCTCCCTAAACTAATTTTTCAAAAGCAAAGTAATCAGTGAAACGGACAATATTCCATTCACTTCAAGTAATGTCAATAATATCGTCCTGCGGTTGTAACATCTGAAGTAAATAACTTTCATTTCGAAGGACAGGTTTAGTTTGGATAAAAACACATTGAAAACTAAGATTGTGTAACAAAAAGCATCTTTCTTTTTCTCCTAGACATGCTTTGTTCATGAAATGAGAAATGTTTCGAGACAAACTTTTGACATCAAACAGCCATAAAAAATTTGTGACGACTTTAAGATAGAAAATGTTCAATTAAAGCTATAAATATTTACATGTTATTAAGTTGTATATAAAACGATTTATGCTAGTGTGATTTTGTGATATTATGTTTACCTTATTTGTCATATTATTTCATACAAAACTTTGTTAGAAACCACACACGTGTGTTCAGAGATAAGAATATCTTGCTCGCTCTTTATCGCACATTTTGATGTTTATCTCATATTGTACTTAATGGATATTTGTACGAATTTTTAAAAACTGTTTTTGCCTTCCTTAGAATTTAAGGACAAAGGGGTGATTCCTAATAACACTCATAATATTTTATTTGTGACTGTTCCGCCCTCACATCTTTGAGCACTGCCTCATCTGATTTCTCTTCCCTTTACACGAAACTCCAAACAAAACAGTATTACCTTGACTTGTTCATATGTATTTTGAAACATATTAAGCTAGGTTTGTCATAAGAACAGACTAAGCCTTCCCTGTCAAACAGAGCACCCGGCTGGAGCATAAAATACCGGAGATAGAACTACATCACTGTAGATACTGTACAAAATGTGATGTATTCAGTCGGGTGCTTTTTACAATATACATGTGTTACACTTAACTAATGTTATATTATGGACGTAAGTTCATTGAATGAATAACCAAGACCCTTATTATTTAAAAGATAAAAGTGAAATGTGTCTTTGAGTGTGCAGAAGTGTGTAATGCTGTGTCTGTTTGTGAGAGCATGAGCTTATAACATTGAACTTAATATATATAAATTATGTAAATACTGTGTTGATAATCATGGAGGTTAACCTGTCTCTGACGGTGAAGAGCTTTAAACATGTCCCGTCATGTCATGACATTGTGTTCAGTATTGCCAAGTTGCCATATCCAAAGTCAAACGATTACTTAAAACGTATTTGTCTCTTCGAAAATATATTATTACATTGTTTCAGTATTCTAGTATTTTGGCGTTCCATAAACGCTACGTCTAAGGAAATCCGTACTGCCACTGAATAGAATACTTCATATTTATTGTATTCCCAATGCCTTTTCAAGAAAAGTATTTGCTGTTTTATCCAATAATGTTTATTTATTCGAATTGCCTTTTCTATGATATTTCTATGTAAATCCTATCTGTTAAACTTGTATTGAATTGTCTATTTGCAGCAAAAAACTTGCTAAAATGTTATTTATTTGACTTTGCCTCATATAATGAGTTTTTGAAATAAAATATTTAAAATTGATAAAACGTGACAAATTGGTGCCTATTCTTCTTCCATTTCACTTTTTGTTTGTTTTTGAAAAACAAAATGACAGATTCCTAAATGAATACACATGCAAACTTTCTCAAGCAGTCCTAAAATACACATACACAAATACATACACATACTCGTACACAAAAACACATTGCAAAGACACACACTCATACACATTGCACACAGATATGCACACACACACACACACACACACACA